AGGCCTCCCGGACCTGAGTCCCAGGGATTTCGGGACCCAGCATCTGCCCAGGCGCGACCCGAGGCTTATCTTGTGCCTGGTCTAGCTCTCGTCTCGCGGCACAGGAACATGGTCTACGTGGTGGTTCACATCTGTTCCGCCATGAGGGTCTCCCCAAGCTTCATTTTGCTTCAGGACATCTTCCTGGCTTTCAGCACCCCCCAGCTGCGCTGGGTTGTCAGACGTGCAACAATTCGGGAACCGCGACGCTCCTGCGCGTAACTCGTCCCAACTTCCTACAAGACCACTAAGGGTCTTCGCGGGTAGGTGCCGCAACGCCTGGCGTTGAACGACCTCTTCGTTTTCCTGACCATGTGTATCCTTCACGTTTAACGCCCGCCGGCGACCCAGATTTAAGTTTTTTAGACTAAATCCCCATTCCTCTTCTACGTTTACCGCCCGCCGGCGATCCAGACCTAAGTCCAATTACCTTTCAACGTTTACCGCCCGCTGGCGATCCAGACCTAAGTCTAATCGACCAGGTCTGCATTCCACTTGTTCATTCTGGTTCTGGACTTCCTGTCCGCGTCTTCTCGAGCAACTGCTCTTAGTGGAAGTCGACAATGGTTTCGTAAATTCATACGGGTGAGTCACAGGATGACTGTGCACCCTGTGTACTTCCACGCGTTGCGTTTTCATGTAAATGGGCAACGCCTCCTGACTTTGCCATCTCGGCATCTGTACAGGCACAAATCTCATAGTTGGAGGTAACGATGTCGCCTCCCGACACTCTGTCGTTGCCAATCTTGGCATATAGCATTCTGCATCTATTTGTCTCTCAGTGCCAAACTCTAACTGAGGTGCACTTCGAGTCCTATTTTCAGCCTCTTGTAGGTGGCGTCCAGTATTTAAACTGGGTATCACCTGTATGCTTTCCTCTTTGTTCTCTTCGAACAAGTTCCCTGTTTGTGGTGTTTTCGGAGTTTTAGAATCCCTAATACGCTTTAAAATGTCTAGATATGCCGGAGTATTATCGCGATTTGGGGATTGTATTCCATGTGATATTTCGCTTTCTCTAGCTAATAGTCTCACAGGTGTGGCGAAAGTGCCAGGGTTTTGTTGCATTGCAACCACGGTAGAGGGACTGACGTCCTCTTGGTTAAAACTGAGACGTCTTGCAGAAGACAGCCTCAGACTAGCCGTCTCTGCTGGGGTTCTTGGAATGCTG